AAATCCTAAATAACATAAAGTTTTTTATCTGGACTTCAATGAGTCTCTCAAACAATTTGCAACTTTCAATGGATATTAGTTTGACTCAAACAGACTGTGGCTATAGATGTGGTGTTTATTGAGAAGTGAATTAATTGAATAACTTATGTTTAGTTGTATTTCATGAAGTGTACGGTATATCTAACGATATGATAGACGATATGTTGGATATGTGTTGATGTGATGCAAATGTGTACCACTATTACAGTGTCTGCAACCTCTATGATCTGTGGGATGCATGTATGGACACCCTCTAGGATAGGGGCTTAGGAGGTGGGCACTTGGCCTGGTATGCAGAGTAGTCTACTATCGATTAGTTAGGAGAGTCTCAACAGTTGGGCTCAACTAAGGGAGAGAGAGGACAACATTCCTGTATTGGTTCTGACATTGAAAACAGTGAATGAATGCATTGAATGAATGAATGATTGCAACAAATGCTGACTTATGAGCGGAAAAGCAGCCAAAAGTGCACTCTCTTTGTGTTATTCAATGTTTTGAATGCATGTGTTTTTGGCCATCCATGGCTTAAATGCCTGAACCCAACCACAGACTATGCCCGGACCTAACCCTATGACCACCACTGCCCTCAACAACCCGAATGGCAATCTTCTCAACACATCCACATCACTACGGGATGGCCTGTCAGTCCATGCTCACCTGAACCACAACTACCAAATGGCAGCACTTCCCGACCAAAGCAGCGATTCATTCACCGATCGGTCGCCAAACATCATACAAGTAAGTGCTCGCATCCCATACCCTCTCACATGCCATTCCTCCACTGAATACGTGTTCACTATATTCGGCACAAACTGTACTCTTCTTTGTTCTTTGTCTGCAAACTTTTGTTTAACTTTTGATTAACTTTTCGTTTATTTGTTTAGAGCTCTCATAAGAACTACGAAGAGGTGGCACTCATCGGGTCCGGCGCTTACGGAACCGTATATAAGGCCCGCGACCTCAACAACGACGGCCAGTTGGTGGCCCTCAAGAAAGTGCGCGTCCCTCTCAACGAGGATGGAGTTCCCATCAGTCTTCTCAGGGAGATCTCTGTACTGAAACAGTTGCAGAGCTTCGAGCACCCCAATGTGGTCAGGTATGCCATCCATTCACACCCCTTGTCGCACACTGTCTCTCATACCTTGTGTTGGTGTCAGGCTNGGAATAAAGTTCGAGACCTGAAGGCCCAGAAGGAAACTAAACCAGTGATCGATAAAGAGGTGAAGATTTTGTTGGATCTGAAGAAACGGTTGGGTTTAGTTTCGGGGGATTCGCAACACAATGTATCGAATAGTAAGAAAAAGCATAAATAATTTAATAGTTTATGTATTTCTCTAATTCTAAGTTATATTTAATAAATTTATTATTTATACTGCATATGAATAAATGAAAGTTTTTAAAATCTAGTTTTGTGAAGATTTTTCACATTTGATACCAAATATTATCTATTGTTTAAAGAATTTTATTTGAATTAAATCGAGAATATAAGACAATGCATTGAATTATCGGAATTGAAATGCAATGTATTTCAGGTTTTCATTGTGCGGTAATTGTGATAACTTTGCAACAAATCTATTCTCTAAAAGAAACATTTGTTCATTTTGTCAATCAATATATTGTTTTATATGCATTCTTCATAGACTTTTTAAAAATTATGTTTATGATAGTCTACGGTTTTTATCATATGATATAATCATTGAAATCATAATTTGAGAACAATTAATATTCCAAACATGATTACATGTATACTCTATTGATCAGCATCTCCCTGGCCCTTTAAATGCAATAAACTTTGATTTATAAAATTTATATTCACGGGACATATGGAATTATATTTAATTTGTTACTTACCGTATTCTGTACAGTATTTACTAATAGGGAATTTAATATTTCATTATTTAACTCAAATTAGAGAGAATGGGAGGTGTTGTTCCGGATTTATACATTAATGAATGCATTAATTTGTAGAATAATGTATAGAACAAATGGTAAGACAGAATATGACTTGATTAACTTTTTATCATAAGACTAATTGATAAGCCCTTTAGGAAAGACTTAAAAAATACAGTACAGTAGTCATCTTTTAGAATCACGTATTAATTACACTAATTAGTGATTACTGTAAGCATTGACCACAAGATTAGCTTACAATAAGAGGAAAGTTGTATAACTGTAAAAATGTTTACAATTCATTAAGAAATAAGTTTGTCATAAAGTTCTATCTCTTTTCACACAGGAATTTATAGATTAAAAAAGTTTATAAGTGTTGAGTTCAATACTACAATATAGATTAGATTAAGTGCATGCATAATAAATACGGTATATTACGAACACAATTGAAGTGATATCTCAAGTGTCTTCTAGTAAAGTCAATATTATAATTGTAAAACTGTAAGTGTAATCACAATAAGTGTAGTTTTGGATTAATTAACTCATGTTTGTTATCTCTATGGGAATGATTTGAATTATATTTTCATTTTTTCAAAATTAATTTATGTTCAATTCATTGTTTTGACAATAAATACATTGCGATTTTGCCACCGGGTATCCTCAGCTCCATATCCCTTACCATTTGATATATTATGTGTCCATTCATTAAAGGCTAACAAATACAATGCAAACACGTATCACATCTCTCCTCTCTATCTCTCTATTGCCTTCTCTTTGTCTCTAATACTCTGTTTTGAAGACTAGATATTCAATGCAATCATAAAACAAAATATTTTCATTAGTATTGAATAAGAAAGCAATTTTCAAAATTAATTAATCCAATCGCCCGAAGACACGATGAAAAGCTGTCTCAAGAAAAGTCTGTGAGAAAAGCCTTGAGTTTTTCGATCTATTTTCAAGTATTTATCAATTATTCTTTGATTCTTTACATTCAACTAAATAAACGTAAAACCGGTTTAATTGTATGAAAATATATATATTTAATTCACAATTTATTATATTTTGTTATGAATTAAATTTACAATAATATTATATATGTGTGTGCGATATGTATGATTCTCAATACTATTTGCATTGTATTTTTATTTAAATAAAATCATTTATATATAATATTTATATATTTCGTTGCGTTTAAAAAATATTTAGGTGTTCAGTGAATAGAATATGATATATAAAAATATTTTATATAGTTTTGAGTTTTGACTAAATTTGAGTTTCAGCTAAGAAAATAATTATTCATTAAATGAATGAAATTAGAAAAAGTGAATTTTGTTCACATCTTGAACTATAAATAAGTTAATTATTATAATTATCTAAAAGTTAGGACTTTAACGTCTTTCACACGCATTTCTAATCAAAAATTATAGACAACAATTTAGTTTAAAACACTTTCACTCAAAATTAATACCCCAAAAGTGTTTGAATTTTAGTAATTTTATAAAAGACTCAGCGATTGAACAAAGAATTGCAAATAAAAGTGAATTCTTATGAAATGGCACTCAGAATATGATATGTTTATATATATAATTATAAATTATAATATGATATTAATATGATAAGTTCAGACTTGCAATGCCTTCAAGATTTCAAGATTTTCTCACTTAATTAGTGCTTAAATTATATGAAAACATTTTCAAAGGTTTTATATATCTATCAATATATTTCAAGTCTGGTTGTTGTTTTGAAATAAATTAAAAGCAATTGCCATTCGGGTAATCAAGTTTCACTAATAGTATACAGTAAATGCTTATTAATTATCAAATTACTTAAGAATATTCTCGTCTACTGGGGCTCTAACTCCACTTTTTGGTACAATATTGAGCTTATCGTTGAGCAAATGTCTACATATTCACTGTAAACTACTTTGAAGTACAACTGATGATGATGTGTAAAAATAAGTGATTTTTATAAATGAAATCATAAATGATATGCTGGACTAATAGCTGCTTAACATTAAAAACATTAAGATATTGACCTCTACTCAAAATATTCAGTCAATGATTTTGATATGTTTTACAGTAATATATAAATTAAATTATTATAAACTTAACGAAAATGTCGTTTTGTGCTTATTTTGGCAAAATTGGTGCAAATCATCTGGAAATATGTGATGAAGTGTCGTCATTATTACCGGAATTGAATTTGTTGTTTAGGTTATTGTCATATTTGGGTGGATAGAGTTCATACTCTTTGAAGTACGGGTGCATAAGCGCCTGTCGGGCACCGATTCGCTTGTT